AACTTTTTTGTAAGTATATATATATATATATATGTATGTTTTCTAACTTTTTTGTAAGTATATATATATATATATATATATATGTATGTTTTCTAACTTTTTTTTCTCGTCAAGTTTTAACTTTTGTTGCTTGTTGCATATACATATAAAAGTTGATGCTCGAGTTTAACATATTTTATCAATTAATATTTAACAATAAAGTATTTAGATATTATAAACTACACTCCTATAATTATTATTCTTCTTATAAAAGTGTCTCTGTTCAAAGATGTGGTCTTTGATTCATTACATTTTTTTTAGATATATTAATTAATAAAAATATAATAACTTAACGTGTTAAATAATGACAAGTCAGTAGGTTTTGGATGTCCTGTAAAAGAATACACCCTCAATATTCTATTCTTTACCAGCATTATTTATTTTGGTGGATCATATCTGTAGTGAACCACCCTCTTCTTTCTCCACCGTTGGATTGATAGATTTGTGATCTATCAATATCATTTATATCCTCCCGTATATAATTGTTCTACATACGTTGATTCATTGTTGTATCTTTACAAACAATCCACTAATAACCCGTAACACGACGTTCTTTCGATCGAACAGTGGACACGAAATTCCTTTTCAGATGAAGATTTCTCGTCTTAAAACGATAAGTAGTAGGTTTTTCATCGTCATTCTAGCCATGCCAGGTTGATCACAACGACTGAACGATAGCCATGAAGTAGAACTGGTATAACCAGAAAAAGTCTTAAAGAATCAAGATAGATTATTACACAAAATTTGCTTCTATGGATAAATAATACACTTTCTTTCATCTTGTTTATGAGAAAAGAATAACTTGGAAACATCCATCTAACCCAATGCCAAAAATTTCTACAGTTAAACCTCTCAATTCGTAACGCAATCAAGAAGATAGGGGTGCGTTTGGTTCACATACCGTTCCCATAACGGCTTGTACCTGCCGATCCCAAACTTCAGCCACGGCTTCAGGTTCCCGTTGAAATGAATCACAGCTGCACTCTCTATGAGCCTGTTATCGATGTTCACATCATAACCCAACCCTAACACATGCCATCTCCGGTCCAGTGGCTCAGTCTGCCCATAGAAAGCCAATAGACCGGGTGGCAGGGTTCCTAACTTCCATAAGCTTCCATCATCGTTCTGTTCTTGCCAGTAATGGTACGTGGCTGTCACGTTAGCCTTTCTCCATGCCACAAGATCGAAGACGTTCAGACCAAACGCCCACCCACATGCCTGCGGGTCAAACTTGGAGCTCAGGACTGGATTAGAGAAGTTTAGATACTTATAAAATCGATGGAAAGCTTCAAGACAGGTTTCAACTGCTCCGTTTACGTTTCCATGAAGATCCAATGAGAAAAGAGGAGTCAAATCTTTCTGGATGATGACATCATCGTCAAGAAAGACGACCTTTTCAAGCTGAGGGTAGATCTCAGGGATGTAGAACCGAAGATGGTTCAATAAAGATACATACTTTGGGTTCCCAAACTTTGGCTCGTCGTTAAGTTCTTGAGACCCTTCGAAATAGTATGCACGCAAGTCGGCTTCTGTTAGTTTTCTAACAACAGGCGAGTAAGATGCGTTTAACCAAGTCAAGTCTTCAACTTTTTGCACTTCGACTATCGACCCTTTAAAGTCGTTGCTAACAAACCAAGCTTGCATGGCTCCATAGTTGGCCTCATTTGTAACTATGTGGAACACAAGCTGCTTTGGGTGGTCGGTGTTTGAGACTGTGGAGTTGACGACGGCTGAAACCGCCATCAGATTATCTGAAAATAAGCAGAAATGATAAAGATTATTGTCAAGTAATCTTGGGGAGCTCTTGATCTCATCTGTAACCTCCTGGAGTGTCTTCTTTATGAGCCAATCAGCCAAAAGCTTTACATTAACACAGTGAAGATTCTTGGGCAGTGCTTCGGCTGCTAACTGTCCGAAGAATGTACTTTGGACAGTGGCTGCATTTGTACGCTCTTCAAGAGCTTGGATGTGAGATTTCATGGTCATGATTGTTGTTGCAATGTCGTAATGGGCATCTTGCGCTTTGAAAATGAGAGTTGAAAGACTTCTAATGAGTGGTTCGGCTTCATCTTGTGTCATTGGGTCTTCTCTCATGGCGGCTTTCGAAAGCAGAAACTGACAGCTTCTGATCTTTGAACTCAACTCCCAAGCAAGATGAAGGTTGTTGTGGTCTTTTGCAATGACTATATACGCTTTTGCAAGTGTCATTTGCTCTAGTAATTGTCTGGCATACGAATTGGCGTCATTTGCTATCTCCTCGGTTACATTTAACGTCCTATGAGTAAATTGTACAGTTCCAGCATTTCTCTCCTGAAAAGGGTTGGATGGTGTTAGACTGTTAGTGGTGAGGCAAAATGACCAATTGAGTATTTAGCATAAGAAGCAACGATAGCCTTTACACAATCAAAATTGGCAATGATAGTATTTCCATACTTCACTAACTATATAAATGGGGATTAGGGGATATTATGTGTTATTCTTGATTTGATAATTGATCGGGTTAAACGAGGCATCCTAACTTTTGTTTACATTTGTGTTTTCTTTTATTTGCAAATAAAAACATGTTGGTTCCATCAAACTTGGTATAGGGTATCTCGTTCTCGGGGCCAAAAAGGCAACAAAAAGAAGGTCAACAAATTGAAATAGAAAACTACAGGTAGACATCAAAGAGTTAAGATCCACAGTTTTGTTGTTTCCCAGGAAGAATTGCCATTTCAGATTGTCGAGACCCAAAACTTAACGGACTGTCGTGGGGAATAGCATTCCTTCAGATTTGAATGCAAAGGCAGAGCAAAGCAGGGGATTGGTGAAAACAGTGACAAGGAAAAACAAGCAGGAAGCATGGATGTTTACAGCTCACAAGGGGATTTCAAGTGATGTGAGAATATGTGGAACCCCCAAATTAATCTCCAAAAGAGCCCTTGAGAAGAGAAGGGGGCTCCAATATATATTGAGGAGAAATAATCCAAGTCTAGCAGATGTGAAACTCCAAGACGCTCCCTCCAACAGAGGCTAGACGGTCACAGATTGCCCCAGAGCGTCGAGTCCCTAGAGTGGTAGACATTGGCTCAAATATCATATGAGAATATGTAGCACCCCCATATTATTGAGAAGATAAATAGGGGGGGGGGGTCCAACTATATATTGAGGAGAAATTATCCAAGTCTAGCTGATGTAAGATTCCAACACGCCCCTTCAAATGGAGGCTAGACAGACATAAACTGCCCCAGAGTGTCAAGTCCCTAGAGTGTTAGACTTTGGCTTTGATACAATGTGAAAAAATGTAGAACAACCATATTGCTCTCCAAAAGAGCCCTTGATTGGGCCAACAGTGTCAACTGGACTCATGTTGGCTGAAGCGGCAAAAGCATTGATGAAGCACAATGAGGTCTGCTGTATAGTAGTAATGAGTTGCTACAAGAGCCATTGTATCAAAAGAGAGTATGAAAGAGGGGAGTGACAGAGAGATGTGTCAGAAAATAATGGGAGGACACAGCCTTGAGGACATAAGCTTAGGCTCACGTATCAAAAGATAGGGTGAGCCGAACAAGGGACCTCAACTTACTGGGCCTTGAATACGAGTCCCTTTTTAGGCTAGATATCGGTTCCTATTTTGGGCAGCAAAAAGGGGGTTTGAAGGGCTCTAAACCTGGATCTCTTATGATGGAAGCTGTTGGGCATGACTTTGAATCTTTGATGTTTCTTATGGTCACATGATGTAAAGGAGAAACTGGGATCCCGGAATCTATCAGATTAATCGGGACAAAAACGGGATTCCACCTTAATTAGTAAATAAGCAATGATAGTATTTGCATAATCAAAATAGGCATCACTAGTATTCCATAATCAAATGAGGCAACAATAGTATTTTTATACTTAAGCAACTTTATAAAAAAGGAACTATAAGGTTAAGATATTACGTATTATGCTTGATTTGATAGTTGATTGGAATAATTTAGGCATCATAGGAGAGACGGATGCCTTTCTAAAGCCGACCGAACGTTTTGTTTGCTTTCATATTTTTTTTTTATTTTCAATAAAATTCATGTGGGTTCAATTGCTGCTGAGGACAGTCTTTACCAGCCATCAATCCAGCCTCCATAGGCCCGAATAGCCGCTTCTTCAAGGGGGTAAGGGCGCGAGTACTTTCTGAGGGCATGACCACATATAGGAGACATTAGTACTTTCCAGGGGGATAGGAGTTCTTGGAGGCGGGTGGATTATACTAGTGATTGCAGGACTGCAGTTGGGGGAGAGTTGAGAGTCATCAAATAGGTTCACTATACAGTATATATATAAGAATAATAAATTAACTTTAAAGAAGTGCAAAAATGTAGCTTCTGGCTATGATTTCTAACTCTTTGTCCTAAATTGCAAGCCGGGGGTCTTCTAGGAGACAGTCTCATTGCATCTTGAGCCAGAGGAAAGGCCTCAACCATACTTTCGAGACCTTTTCAGCACTAGTTGAGTGTCTTTAACAAAATAGCTCCCACTTTTCATGACCATGCAATGCTTCTATAAAAATCATGCAACACGATGCCAAACAATATGACTTTATGGATGAATGTTCATCATGTGTGAGCATAATGGTTTTACCAAACATAAATATCAGAATGAGGTTTTTCAGGAGTCTGATCCATATTAGCCTCTCTCTATGCTCTTCTGAGTCTACATCTTATTTAGATTATTTCAGAATCCTAGTTTCATTTACCTCAGTAGGATGTCAGTCAAGCCCTCAGACAGATCCTGAGATATCTCAAGGCCTCTTCGAGTGTATTCCAACCAAGGTTGCTACAGAGTTCAGGCATTCACCGAAGAAGGATCAGGCTTTTTTCCTAATGCTGACTGGGTCCCATTTCTAGACATTCTACCACCGGTCCATGTACATTTGTAAGAGAATATCCTATGTCCTAAAAGAATACAAACCAACATACAATATCTCGTTTAATATGACATGGACCAGATGTTTTGCTTCATGAGTTAGGAATTGGATAAACTAATGAATCGTAAGAGAATCAACCAAATGGAAGCAGATTGTCTCTTGTTAAAGATTCTGGTTTTGGGCACATTGCTTTGTCAATTCTTGAGCATCAACAAGCAACAAAACCGGGTTATTTAGGAGAATGACCTTCTTACAGATTTTGAGGCATTCTTCTGTTAGGCAGGGAGTTCTTAAGTCTGTCAGAAGGCCATACATTTAAAAACAATTTGTCAGAAGATTGTTCTCTTTGATCCAAGTTGAGGAGTGTTGGATGTACCGTTAGCATTGTCTCATTCGTCTTGGCTTGCTGGCCTAAGGTCTATAATGTGAGAGAGGGAAAAATATTCATATTAAATAAAAATCAATAAAATAAGTAAAAGAATGCGTTGCATGGAAAAGTGAGATGCCCAAGATATTAAGAACAAGGAGAAGAATCGACGATAGCAAAGTAGTACCATGAGAGAAGGATGAAAAGAACCCCCCTTACAATTTTCTTTTTTGAAGCATATAATTTTTATATACGGCAAATAGAACAAATAAACTCACACATCCTCCTCATCTTTGGTGAGGTTTGAACCCTTGACATATTAGGATTCTCCCCTCGGGAATAAACAATGCAATCCAAGAAAATAACCAATTATTAGCTATAGAAGCCGAAATAATTATTCTACCACTCACAATTACATCATCCTTAATGACCACAGATTTTTGAAACATGAAACATAAGTAAATCATTCCAAACTTTTTATGCCCATCCCCTAGTACGGGCGTTTGGTTTGATGGAATAATTTTGAGGGATTTGGATATCGTGGAAGGATTTGAAATCGCAAGGATTTGAAATGTTTAATGTGTTTGGTTTATAGGATTTGGAATGGAATTGGATTTCATTATTTATAAAAATAAATTATAAATAATTATAAAAATAATTAAATTACGTTTTTATTAATTAATTATTACAAAACTAATGTTTTTAACATATTCTAAAACATTACTACATAGAAATCCTACGAAATCCCGTGAAATACTAACCACCCTTGTGAGATTTTGAAATCATATGTTTGTGGGATTTCAAATCCATGAAATCCTTTAAACCAAGCATGGGATTGGAATGGAATTCAATTCCAAATCCCTCCAAATCCATTCCAATCCTGCAACCAAACGGGGACTCTAGAAAACCATGTAGAATAAGCGATTTCATGTCCTTATCTATTAGGGTGCGTTTGGTACTCGGGACAGGATAGAACAAAAAACTTGTTTTCCCATGTTTGGCACGACAATTAGACCAGGGCAGGACAAGACTTGAATGGGACAATAATGCATTTTCTTTGTCCCACCAAAATCAATGAGATTGGGACAAGATAGATAAATTGCTAAATTACTCATGTCAAATTAAAACCTTAAAACCTTCTACAATTCTTTGATCCTCGCCAGTTCAATCCTGCCCGCGCACCAAACACACCCTCATAAATTGACCTATTAGTGACAACATGCCATGTTAGAAAATGAGTGCTAAGATGCAAATTGATACGAACATGGATGTTTAGCATCTGTTTTATTTCTTGTGTAGCTGCTATTTTTTATTTGTTTTATTTCCTTGTCATACTTATGCATGAGTCAATTGTGTTGCATTCTTAAAGTGACAGTTCGTAGGAAGTTATGTTAAGGCATGTTAGGAGCATATTTAGGAGTAGTTAAATTAGCATCATGGTCATGGTGCTTTACATATTGCTTGTACGGTTACTATTTGATTTCAATGCAGAAAGTTATCAGTCTTCCTTCTTCCTTCTCTTCTTTGGAGATCACCCATCTCGAAACGGGTTTATAACACAAATACTGCAGTTTTTTTACCTTTAAACCACAGAAAACACTACAGAACTGTTGAGCCGGTTTTAATCTGCTTCACAAGTTAACAGACACCTACAAATGGGACACCTTATTTCCTATTTGATTCAAACAATTTCAAAGTTAATGACCTCAAAGAAGTAACAATGGCAGTGCTTAAAGATTATGACTACAACCCAGGAATTCAAAGTCAACTGTCTCAAATCCAAAGCACCTAGCCATGTTAGATCCTCCTATAATTACCTAAATGGACCCTTCTGGCTACAAATTTTCTGTTTATCTTGGCTTATCATGTTTTGGGCTCCAAATTACTTGGTCCATATGATTGTTCTATGATAAATTCTATCAGCTGATCTCAACCTACAAGTAAATATGCTTTAAATATCCTGATGACTTTCATGATCCAAGACCAAAGATCTTAGATACATTCATAAGAACTTGCTGATCTGCCAATAAATGATACTAATATATGAAGAACTTATATTTCAAGATACCATGAATGCAGCAAAACACAATAGTATTGCTTCAATTAGACCTCCATAAACTGAAGATGCATCCTAATCATTTTGGTTGCCTACCTAAACCTAGGGTTTTTCAAAACAATGAAGATCAAGATACTTAGAATTGCTTCAACTGGTAAAGGTTATGAATGAAACCCATCAAACATTGGAATTGCAGAAATGAAATTTCAAAAATATGATATGGGTTATGCTATAAAATCTTTACCAATACAGGCTGTTCCACCCGATCTTCATATTCTTGATTCTGTAGAACAACTAAGAGAATAAATCCAGCAATACAGAATAAACCGAGAAGGACCCAGATCCAAACTGAAAGCCTCCTTCGAACGGGGCGCCGGTAGTCCGCAGCCCGCCGGCGCATCTTTTATCAAGATTATGAATCCGCAATTCACCTCCAATGGATCAATAGCACGTAAAACACATCACATCACTCGGAAATTGGATAAGCAATGATCATTGCAGAACCAACGTTGCGATTTGTAGAGAAATCCATCAAAAGAATCAAGAATCAGCAACCCGTCTTCACTGATCTTCTTCAAGAAAACAACAAAATCAGTGTAACGGAGTTGAATCAAGTGTGATTTGATTTGTGGATTTGAAGGCAAAATGAGAGGGAGAAACGTGTGTTAGCTCCTAAACACAAGAAAGATGTCGGCTTGGAGAGAGAAAGCTGTGATAAATTTGTGGGACAACAGACATGGAAGGAAAGCACATGGAATGTAATGGTGCGCCTTCATACCATTATCAATCCAACAATAGTTGCATTTGAAGAACCAAAGTCACAAGCTTAATTCTGGGAAATTTTTCAATAGATCGTGTTTGACGTTTTCACCATGGTTTTTTCATTTTTACCTTTAATATCTTCACACACAACTACAAATTTGGTCCCTAACGGTGTATGTATTGTGCATGTATATCTTGGTTTGGGATAAGTGAGATTAGACTCTCTTTGTAAGACACGTATTATCATTTTTTACACTTAAAACTTTACAGTAAAATGTTTTGAAAATAACTTTCACTATGTTTTTACTGTGAATGTTTAGATTTTTTACATTTACAGTGTTTTGCTGTTAAGTTTCAAATGTAAAAATATGTTGTCAAGGGTTTTATAAAAACATATTGATCTCACGTGACTCAAGCTTGTGTATATATATTATTTTATAAAAATTTAAATAAAGTTTTTTAAACGTTCAAGAAAAATACATCTATAAAACATTAAGTATAAACATATGTAGTGAGAATTATAATGTGTTGAATTCTTTTGATAAAACAAATCGATAAACATCTAACATTGGTCGAGTGCGTTACATCCGTTTAAAAGGAGGGAGCGCCAAATCACGACCCTTAATTTATTCACATCAAAGATTGATATTAGCATTGGCGTAATTAGAGTAAATTATGGATTTGGTTCCTATGGTTTACACTTTCTATCCATACTGGTCCTAAAATCAAAATAAATATAGATTTGGTACCTTTAATACGTTTAGTCTTTTCACCTTACTTTTGTCTTTATCATAATTAAGAAATGTATATATATAGACTTGGGATCATGTGAGACCAAATGTTTTTGTGAGACCCATAAGACCAATTCCCAACTATTGGATTAGATCTACAATCTGACAACTTGAACATTCATAAACGCCACGAGACTTCTCAATAATTACAAAATTGTCACCATGCAACTTTAGACCATTAGATCATTAGCTTATAAAGTTGATCAATGAACATAAATTGGTCTTACGGGTCTCACGAAAAACCTTTGGTCTCATGTGAATCCAACCCTATATATATATATATATATATATATATATATATATATTACATATTATTGTATTATATACACATATTTATACTATATTATAAAGCATTTGGTTCAATCTCTTAAAAACAACTTTTAAAGCATTATGTACTGTTTATTGATACATATTACTTAAAGTTCAAGATTACAAGTAAATTGTCTGAATTGGTGTAACTAACTACTGATAAACATAATCAAATTCTGGATAAGTATCTCATTTTAAATATAAAAAATCTAAAATATATTTAGGATAATCATTGAATTCAAAATATTAAATATAATCTTTATAAAAGAATTATATTATTATCTATACTAAATACTAGAAGGGTACCCACACAATGCAACAAGATATATCTTGATTTTAATATTTAATTTTATTATTTATTTCAGTCGATGTTAGTATGGTCTTATGTGATTTTGAAAAAGCGATAATCGTTTTATTTTTGAATAAAATATAAATTTAAAGATATCATCTAAATTAAATTTATAATAAAAAATAGAATTAAAGAAATTACACAAAAAAAAAAAATATTAAATATTTAATTTGATATAAAAATCGATATATTTTTTTTCAAAATTTTATGATACCTTCAAATTTATATTTTATTCAAAAAAATAAATACATTATCGTTTTTTCGGTACCACATAAAATCGTATTATAACATCGACGGAGACAGAATAAAATAAAACATTAAAATCAAGATGTATCTCGCTATATTGCGCGAGTAGCTACTAGTGCTATAATACATATTTCTCCGATCACCATTTCTGAGGGTCGTCATCGTCTCCGGCTTCCCCAACTCCTTTTCCATTTCCCGCCTCATTCCACCCATATACATTTACAAAGTCAAGTGAACCCCCGCCTCCCATTTTTTGGTGATCCAGATCCATCTCGTTCCCTCATCACCACCACCACCACAGTGCTGAACTTGATCTCCATTTTCTGGTAACCCAAACAAAATCCCTAAGTTGCAGCGATGGTCTTACGAAGATATCCCTTTCTAAGGCCACCATTCATGGACGGTGAGGTTCTCCAACTGTGATATCCCTTTCTAAGGCCACCATTTTCTGGTGACCCAGATGCAGGGACCATTTACTGATGATCCAGACCCATCTTGTTCCCTCGTCATCACCACACCACCATGTTGATCTTGATCTCCATTTTTTCTTGTGACCTAGACCTAACCCAGACAAAGTCCCTATGTTGCAGCGTGTTAAGAACAGTAGAGAATATCAAAGCTGATTGCATTTTATTGAGGTAACAAAGGAGGTTTTTTATAGCCGAATACAGGTAACATGAATAAACAGAATTGCTAAAAATCAGGAACTAAAGACTACTAGATCAAAGATAATAACAGTTCTTAAAGCTTCTGGAACATTCAATTATTTGACTAAATCAAACTGTAACTATCTAAAGTCAGCTTCCTTAAATCCCAACAAGTCCTCCCCTAAACTGAAGGTCCTTTCAGTTTATATCTGATACAGAGCAAACTCCCAACATCTTTCTTAGTTTCTCATAAGTGTCCAACTTCAAGGGCTTAGTCATTATATCAGCGATTTGGACATTAGTGCTACAATGAACCAGATCCATGGTTCCATCATTTACTAGATCACGTAGGAAATGGAACCGAATATCAATATATTTGCTTCGTTTGTGCAGCACGAGATTTTTGGACAGCTTCACTATTGAGGAGTTGTCACAAAAGATAATGGTTGCACCTTCTTGAACCAAACCAATATTCTCCAAAATTCTCCTCAGCCATATAATTTGACAAGCACATGCTGCAGATGCCACGAACTCAACTTCAGTGGTGGAAAGGGTCAATACAGGTTGCTTCTTTGAGGACCAGGACACAACAGCATCTGAAAGCAGCATAACATAACCAGATCTGCTTCGTCGATCTCCCACATCTCTTGCATAATCTGAGTCATAGAATACTATAAGCTTGTTGTTCCCATTTCTCCTATACCAGATGCCAAACTCGAGAGTTCCCTTCACATACCTAAACACCCTCTTCATTGTTTGAAAGCGAGAATCAGATGGATTCTCCATAAATCTGCACACCAAGCTGAGAACATACATTAAATCAGGTCGAGTGGCCTACAGGTATATTAGGCACCCTACCATTTGTTTATACATCATTGCGTTCCCCTTTATTTCTATTTCATTCTTCACCAAAGTTAACTCCAGGAACAATTGGATTGTGGACTGCATTACATGCTCCCAATTTAAACCTTTCCAGTATTTCTCTTGCATACCTTCTCTGGCAAATAAAAATTCCCGAGCTGCTCTGAATGATCTCGACTCCTAGAAAATACTTCATCATCCCCAATTACGTCATTTCAAATTCTGACTTCATGGACGACTTAAACTTCTCGATCATGTCAATCTTGTTCCCGGTAACTATAAGATCATCAACATACAATGACACAATGAGAGTGTTACCTTCAAGGTCCGACTTTATGAAGAGTGTATGTTCGTGTGGACATTTGACAAATCCGGACTTCTTAAAATAAGCTTCAATTCTGCTGTACCAAGCTCAGGGAGCTTGTTTGAGTCCGTACAAAGCCTTTTTGAGTTTATATACGTGATCCTCCTTGCCTTGTGTTAGATAGCCTTGAGGCTGCTCAACAGACACTTCCTCCATGAGTTCTCCATGCAAGAATACGGACTTGACATCAAGGTGAAAAACTGTGTAGTTCCTTTGAGCAGCTAGACTAAGAATACACCTGATTGTGTCCCACCTTGCCACAGGAGCAAACACCTCAGTGTAGTCTACTCCATATTCTTGAGCATATCCTTTGGCTACAAGGGTGCTTTGCACTTATCGACCGTACCTGATTCATTAAGCTTTGTCTTATATAACCATATCACCCCAATTGGTTTGACTCCTTCAGGTAATGTACACAGCTCCCAAGTCCCATTTCTTTCTATGGAATCCATTTCTTGACGCATGGCAACTCTCCACCTTTCTTCTTTGTTAGCTTGCTCAAATGTAGTAGGATCAGATAGTGACATAAAAAGAGCAAATTGACTTACAGGTTCATCCGATTCAACAACCCCTTCTCCACTCACATAATCATGTAACCAGGTTGGTGCCTTTCATGTTCTTCCTTGACTTTCGGTAACAGTTGAGTTCTCATCTGATGCATCTTTTCTTTCTTGCTCTCTATTTGCTGCCTCTTTTCTTTCTAGCTCTCTATCTGCTGCCTCACACATTTCACCTGCTAGAGTTGGCTCATCACTGCCTTCGCACGTTTCATCATCGCATAACAGCCTTCTGCCATCACTGCTTTCTTTATCCTTCCAATCCCATTCTTTATCTTCTTCGAAAATTACATCTCGACTAATGATGATTTGTTTGGCTTTGGGATCATATAGTCGGTAGGCTTTGGATTCTTCACTGATGCCAAACATGACACATTTGACACTTTTTGTATCAAGTTTTGCTTTTTTTTGCTTGGGCACGTGAACATGAGCAACACATCCGAAGACCTGAATATGATACACTTCAGGTCGTTTATTGCTCCATGCTTCTTCAGGTGTTGAATTCTTGACCGCAAAGGTGGGACTTTGATTAAGAAGGTAAGTGGTCCAGGCAGCAGCCTCGGGCCAATGCTTCTTAGGAACGTTCTTTGCTATCAACATACTCCGCTTAATGTTGAGAATGGTCTGGTTCTTTCTCTCCGCCACACCATTTTGCTGGGAAGAGTAGGCAGCAGTTAACTGTCTTTTAATTCCATTTGAGCTACAATATTCTTTAAACTCAGCAGAATTGTATTCCCTCCCTCGATCGGTTCGGAGACACATGATGGTTGTACCCGCTTCCTTCTCCACCATGGTTTTAAATCTTTTGAAGATGTGGAGTACCTGTGATTTTTCAACAAGGAAAAATACCCAACATTTTCTAGAAAAATCATCTATAAACGTTGCAA